AATGGATGGATGGATGGATGGATGGATGATGGATGGATGGATAAATGGGTGATGGATGGATGGATGGATGGATGGATGGATGATGGATGGATGGATGGATGGATAAATGGATGATGGATGGATGGATGGATGGATGGATGGATTGATGGATGATGGATGGATGGATGGATAAATGGATGGATGAATGATAAATGGATGGATGGATTGATGGATAAATGGATGGATGGATGGATGGATGATGGATGGTTGGATAAATGGGTGATGGATGGATGGATGGATGATGGATGGATGGATGGATAAATGGATGGATGAATGATAAATGGATGGATGGATTGATGGATAAATGGATGCATGGATGGATGGATGGATGATGGATGGATGGATAAATGGATGGATGAATGGATGGATGGATGGATGGATAAATGGATGGATGGATGGATGGATGGATGGATAGATGATGGTTGGATAAATGGATGATGGATGGATTGATGGATGGATGGATGGATGGATGGATAAATGGATGGATGGTTGGATAAATGGATGATGGATGGATGGATGGATGGATGGATGATGGATGGATGAACTCACCTCATCAGGAACCTGCAGAAAGTAGAGAAACAACCATCAGCAGGGTTCCAACAGCTGAAGTTGATTAAATGAAGTTTGCAGATTATTTTCATCATAAATCATTTGGTTGTTTCCTGTTTCTAGTGTGTGTGTGTGTGTGTGTGTGTGTGTGTGTGTGTGTCGGTGTGTGTGTGTGTGTGCGTGTGTGGGTGAGTGAGCGTTCAGACCTCGTAGATTGCAAATCCAATGGTGTTGAGGTCTCGTCCAAAGCGTCTCTCCCTGCGACCGTCTTTCTGCATCAGACCGATGAGGACGGTGCAGCCCTCCTCGCCATCGTGAGGGTCGTCGTCCACGTCCTCCAGCCGGATGAAGAACTGAGGGTTGGAGCAGAACGTGGCTGCAAAATAAACAGAAGGAAAGGTTTGAACAGACACAGCAGAAAAAACACAAACTTTAGAAAATCACTGACAAACGAAAATGTGAAAATTAAAAACTCTAATACTGTCAGATATTAACACTGACTGTAATGTAAATGTCAGATATTAACACTGACTGTAATGTGAATGTCAGATATCAACACTGACCGTAGTGTAAATGTCAGATATTAACACTGACTGTAGTGTGAATGTCAGATATTAACACTGACTGTAATGTAAATGTCAGATATCAACACTGACTGTAGTGTAAATGTCAGATATTAACACTGACTGTAATGTAAATGTCAGATATCAACACTGACTGTAGTGTAAATGTCAGATAT